ACCCAGGCCTCACCCCAGCCAGCACTTAGAAGGCTGGGCACTACCCCTGGAGAGGGAGGTCATTGCCCACTAACCTGGAGCAGGGCCAGCCACCACTCCCAAACCTGCTGGCTTAGGAACCAGAGCAAGGGACCTCGGCTTAACCCTTCTCTCTTCCTCAATGCAGAAGTTAGAAGAAAGGTTCCGATTCAACCGACGGGATCTAATTGGGTTTGAGTTCACCGTGCTTGTGGCCTTGGAACTTGCTCTCTATCTTCCCGAGAACCAGGTGTTACCTCACTACAGACGCCTCACACAGCAGTTCTAGTCTGCTGCCCACGCCCCTCGGCACACGGTCTGTGGGCCCCAGGAGCTGTTCCCAGGCAGTGGAGTGCACCCCTGGCCCCCGTGGCCTCACTCGGCTGGGACACACGGACCCTGCCTTCACACTTTCTTCCTTGGGGGCCATGCTTTCATTCCAAAGCACCACATCACCATGGTATTTTGGGGAATATTCCTGCATTCTCATGTGGACAGAATGTGGGATTTGTCATTTTCCTTTTTTCACGTGCCTGAGACTGGCCTGGCACCAGGACCTGTAATTTATGCCTTGGATCCTGACGTCATGGCATCTTTCTCCTTTGCATTGCCTTGCCTTCCACATACCATCGTAGCCACTGAATGGCATCACAGTGGTGACTGTTTCCAGATGCTGCTGAGCACACTCAAGTCCCTGAAGCTAATGAAGTAAAGCATTAATCTTGACTTTCCAATTTCTGGATGTGGAAAGCACTGGAACACACCCTGCCCAGCCCACTGTCCATTCCCCTCCCCACATCCACAAGCAGAGCAAAGAGCAGACTCCTGGTTTTGATGAGTTTTATTCTTGGACCTGTTCTTCCAAGCATCATGTCACTGTGAAGTCCTCGTACCTGAGTGTTACGCAGGCCAGCAGGCCTCTGCAAACACAAGCTGCCCCTTCACCTCATCCAGAAAACCCACTGGCCTGCGACACTGGATCTTCAGATGATTGCATTGCTGGAGTGTGGCTTTTGATCTTATTAAGCAATATTATGACAGAACAGCCTATTGTCATTTGGGATTCTGTTCTGTAGGTGTTTCTCATAGGGGAACACAAACTCCTTAAATGTGTAAAGCTGTGAGTTGAAACCACACTTGCTCAAGCTGGGAGGAGACTACTTCACAGCCCACAGCACAGCCTCCCCAAGAGGTCGGCTCAATGCCTTTCTCCCAAGGCTGTCCAGGACAACTGGCCGGTGCAGTCACCCTCAGACCCCAGCTGCCAGTGATCCTCACTCCTACAAAGGCCCATGCTCTGCTTTTCCAGGTTTGTTGTCCTTTGCACAAACTCTTGTCCAGTTCTCCAGCTCGCTGCCCCACCAAAAACACGTTAAGGACTGGTGAGTCAGCTGGCCTGAAAGACGGCCATGATGAAGCTGCTCCTATTGTGCTGCAGACCTGTGACTGGAGGGGCCCTGGGTCAGCCCCCATCTTGTACTCTCTCCGCGTGGGCTGGTGCTTTTGCAGAACAGCCAGTTCTGCTCATCACAGCACCCAACCACCAGCAACTCAGCCCAGACCCCAGCAGAGGTGCAGGCCAACCACCCATCCACTTGCTGCCTGCGAGTCTGTTCCTTCTGCCACTCAAAGGAAGACTGCGGGATGGAGGACCACGCCTGTGTCCATGGTCCAAACTTACTGCAGTGTGCCTCCCTCTCCAAGATGGCTTCCTAAACCCAACATGCAACCAAGTTAGATCGGAGGGTGTAAGGTGCTAGGCCCCGGCAACTTCTGGAAAGCAACCTGTCCTGCCACCATATATCTCAAGAACACTTGTGTTATAAGCACTGTAAGGGACTCCCAAAACGTCCCAGTTTACAGCTTAGCCTTGAAGGACCTGTCTCTTCAGGAATTTCTATACGGACTAAAGTTAGACCAGCTGAGAAATATGGTAATTTAAGTTTGCACATTTATGTAGTAAGATTTAGTCATTTGCCCATCTCATCTGTAACCTTCCCAGCTGTGTCCTTTAGTAATGCTGGAGCTGCCACTGTGTGGTACTCAAGAATCCCTGCAGGAAAGCCAGTATTTAAGCCAAACCTCAGCCTGAATCCCTGTCCTCTAGAACAAGGCCCAACCGACCTCTGAGTTGGTCCACGGCCCAGTGCCACTCGCTCAGCACCCAGTGGCAGTTGTGGATTTTAAATGTGCATTAAGCAACTATTTTACCTCAATGCCAAGTTGTGTCACAAGTGTTTGTATTTGTGCTTTAAAGTAAAATGTGGTTTTGCAGCATATTTTATAAGTCACCTCCTTTCAGTGAGCTGACCCCCTCCTCACCCATACACAGCAGAATGTCAGCTCTAACCCTCCAGAGCCCAGCACAGAATGAACCAACATGGGGGGGTGTTTCCACTATTTATTTATGACAAATTTCACATCTGTGATGCCTTCAGTCAGAAGTTCCTAAACAAAAGGAAAAACAACATTAAAGCCTCGTCTCCGGAAAAGTCCCAGCCCGTCCCCAAACTCGACTTTGAGACGGCTTACTTTGAGACGATGCCATCGGCCTTGGCCAGTCGGAGAATGGAGTCGTCTGACTCACCCTGAGAAAAAGCACATTGGAACTATGAGCTGGCAGGAGGTCCACCAGGGACCACCCAGCCCTAGTGGCAGGCTCTCTCCCAGTCTCACTACTCAGACCTCACTGGACAGGGAAAGGCCTTTGGAGATGGAGTGTGATAAGTGGGAGGTTCCAAGGTAAAAGGGTGGTCCTGCTTGCAGCCTTTGAGCATACTTTCCACCCTTCACCCCACCATCCCCAGGAATAGGCAGACAACCAGTGCAACCCAGTCCCATAGGCTCAAACCTATTCTGCAACAAATGGACTCAGTCAGGCCTGAGAGATCGTGTAAGACACCATTCTCCATTACCGCCCCACGCCCCCACCCACCCCCCGAAGCCCACAGATGAGCCACCTCCAGGAGACTCACCATCCTGCGGATAGCCCCGCAGATAGCATAGGTTTTAAACTGGCCGTTGAACCTGCCTGTCACCTTGTCAACCTGTTGATGGAGAATGAGGATCATCAGACGGGCACTAGAGCACCTTTAGCTCTAAATCTGGGGTCTGGGGATCATCAACCCCGGGGCCAGCCCAGACCTCGCTCTAGTCTGGGATGGACCTCGTCCAAGCCCTAGCGCCCCAGGCTCACCTCGGCCACGTTCATCTGGATGGACGCGTGGTCCTTGGCGCCGATGATGCGGTTGCTGGCGGAGCTGCGGGGAGAGCGTAGTGAACGGAGGGGTGGGAAGTCACGAGTGTTTGTATTTGCGTTTTAAAGTAAAATTAAATGCTGCGGCGCTCACCATTTCCGCGGCACGTACAGGTCCACGAACTCGCCGGCGTCGTTCTGCATGTCGAGTGCACCTAAGAGACCCCGCGTGTGAGAACAAGCTGGGTCCGCGCGCCCGGACCCGTGCCCCGCGTCTTGGCCTCACCCCGACTCCCGGTC